AGCACGTAGTTATTTATTATTAGCATTGTTCTTCCGATGTCGGATTCCTTTTTAATTATAAGAAATTGTCTAAGGTACATAAATTTTTTAGATTGACTATAGCCAATACATCCTTAATGGGGATCTTGCATGTAAATAACGACTCCGAATACCGGCCTTTAATTTTCATTCATCAATAAATCAGGAACGCAGCATATATTATTACCCTAATGAATAAAGAATGGGTCGACTGGAAGATTAACAGAATTTAAACAAACCGCTTCACGGTGGTCGCGATAACATTATCATCAGGGCAGCGAAGTGTTCATTACGTGTATCAAAACATTCATAACTATACTGTTGATTTTTCTGGATCGTCTCGCGTTACGTATTACGTTTCCTATTCGAAACTGACTTGTACTACAAGTACTACATGAATTATAATCGGACGTTTAATTTTAATCGTTCACGGGCAATTGTAATAACTGTGATTAATCTCAGCGCTCAAACGCCTCATTCATAGTTCTCAAATAATATCTGTTATAGTATATTCTCTGTCTATGTTTATTATTTCATTGTATCTTGCTTACGGTAGCAGCGTTTGCTTGTAGCTACAAGCTAATTCATTTTGCGTGCGGAATACACGGAAAAAAGAGTAGTCGAACGTAACATGACTCTGGTGTTTACCAAACAACCGAGTCATCTCATTTTATCTCTCTGTTACGCAACGTTCCCACTGGCGTTTTACTACCGTTCATCGAAACGTAGTTTCCATCAATGGAATTTCAGCACTTTTTCTGTTTTTTATGTAAATAAAGACGCGCGTGAAAGGCATCTATCGGATAGCTTCGCGCCTACCAGAGAAAATTTCCTATGAACTGCCTCAAGGCAATCAACGTTCTCCCACCGGATTTTCTAGGAAACATGCGTTAATTGAGCAATTACGTACAACTTCGGTGGGCGCCAATAATTAGGGATCAGGTTAAGTACTTTGAAAACAGGTCCGAACTTTGATTGATTTCAAACTCTCTATAAATACCTTGGAAAGTAGAGACAGAACATCTGAACCAGATAGTTCTGAATATCTCATAACTATTTTGGTAAACGGAAGTAATACTTGCGAGTATACTTCATGAATATTAAAAGGACTTATGCAATTACACTTGATTATTGAAATTAACTCAGATTCATAAGTATATGTACATACATCAAGCTTGCTCCCATCCCTACTAATAATTTTATACAAATTTATGCATGAATAATGAAATAAACAGAATGCATGTCAAGTGGCAGGTTTAACAGTAAATTAGGATTGGTTAGAATTATTAGTAGAGAAATTGAAAATTTTTTATGTTCGTTTATGTAAAATGAACGTTGAAAGAGAAATCTTGGATTAGGTTTCATTATTTATTCGTCTATCGGAAGCTACTTAAATTGTGCACTCGTGAGAGTATTATCGGATCGTTTCTCGTCTGTAAAAATGGTAGTCCAGACACCGAGAAGCAAATGACGTTCTCTTTGACACACTTTGGTCGAAGATTCGAATGGGACACGGTAGCTAGCAACTGTCGTGAAAACTGATGGAAGGAACGTGCACGGGTTTTTCACGCACGTACGTGCGTTTCGGTTTTAATCAGATACTTACGTTTCTGGTTGTAATCCGTGTTCGTTCTCGATGATGACACGTAGATAACACAATCACTACCGGAGCACCATTGCCGTATGTCCCACATTACTCGGCATGCCGATAGTTCGAAATCACTGTGCAAATAATAATCAGAGTGAGAATAACCACAGGTGTCCGATCGAGTTTTGAATCGCACATTACACTACGTAGGATTGGCTTTCATATAACTCCTGCGTTTCACTTAACATTTTAAATATAATATTATTATTCATTAGAAACTGAACGGGTTTTAGTATTACTTAGGAAAAATCAATTCCGGTTAGATTCCACGTGGAACTCGATGTCAGTTTTCTGCAGTCGGTTCGCAATTATAATATCAATTTTTAGTAGAAACGAAAGAGACTTTAGTTTAATTTCTTGACGAAATCGATTCCTGTTAGATTCTATGTGGAAGTCGATGTCAATATTGTACAATCGGGTCTCAATTATAATATCAATTTTTAGACGGAAGAGACTTTAATTTCACGTCTTCACAAAATCGATTCCTGTTAGATTCCACGTAGAGCTCGATGTCAATATTTTACAATCGGTTCTCAATTATAATATCAATTTTTATTAGAAACGGAAGAGACTTCTTTTCACTTCTTAACAAAATCGATTCCTGTTAGATTCCATGTGCAGCTCGATGTCAATATTGCACAATCGGTTCTCAATTATAATATCAATTTTTAGTAGAAACGGAAGACTTTAATTTCATTTCTTGACGAAATCGATTCCTGTTAGATTCTATGGGGAAGTCAATGTCAATATTTTACAATCGGTTCTCAATTATAATATCAATTTTTAGACGGAAGAGACTTTAATTTCACGTCTTCACAAAATCGATTCCTGTTAGATTCCATATAGAGCTCGATGTCAATATTTTACGATCGGTTCTCGATTATAACATCAATTTTTATTAGAAACGGAAGAGACTTCAATTTCACTTAACAAAATCGATTCCTGCTAGATTCCACGTACAGGTCGATGTCAATATTTTACAATCGGTTCTCAATTATAATATCAATTTTTATTAGAAACGGAAGAGACTTCTTTTCACTTCTTAACAAAATCGATTCCTGTTAGATTCCATGTGCAGCTCGATGTCAATATTGCACAATCGGTTCTCAATTATAATATCAATTTTTAGTAGAAACGGAAGACTTTAATTTCATTTCTTGACGAAATCGATTCCTGTTAGATTCTATGGGGAAGTCAATGTCAATATTTTACAATCGGTTCTCAATTATAATATCAATTTTTAGACGGAAGAGACTTTAATTTCACGTCTTCACAAAATCGATTCCTGTTAGATTCCATATAGAGCTCGATGTCAATATTTTACGATCGGTTCTCGATTATAACATCAATTTTTATTAGAAACGGAAGAGACTTCAATTTCACTTAACAAAATCGATTCCTGCTAGATTCCACGTACAGCTCGATGTCAATATTTTACAATCGGTTCTCGATTATAATATCAATTTTTATTAGAAACGGAAAAGACTTTCGTTTTACTTAACAACACCGATTCCTGTTAGATTCCACGAGTCCGACTTAACATCGTACAATCGGTTTATTCGAAACGTTCGCGTACACAATACAACGTATTACAAAATACGCGGTCCCTAATCTTCGTTTTTCCTCCTATGGCTCCGCGAAGAATTTCACAAGAGACCCGCGGCCGTTCCCGATATCCGGTGACTAGACGGCACGGAATTTCCATCGTTCTGCCGCATAGCTGAATGAATTATTTAGGGCAAGGGTAGAGTCGCGGGAACGCGGGCGCCTCCGCCAGGCGCGATGACTCGCGTCTATTTTGTAATGCGTGCCGTTCTGACACCGTAAAAATTGGAGTGTAAGGAGGAAATATGACTATGCGGAACCACTCCCAGGGGATTGAACCGTCGGAACGCCACCACGATATCTGTTCGTGGATCACGCGCCACTTGTTTATTTTCTCGTCCCACCTACGAACAGGTTGTTGTCGGTATCCACGCGATCGAATCACGTTTCCAATTTTAACAAATCGATCCGTGGGTTGGTTCAATGAAATCGCTCGTGCCAGTTTTATCAACGCGAGAATCGTTTTTCCCGACTATTCAATAAAACCGTCAACCACGTCACTGCACGGTAGTTCTAAAAAAAGCACGACCACCGTTTATTATCGGGTATAAAGGGAATGGAGAATAAACGTCGATATGAACGTCAATATAATTCGATGACGATGAATATATTTTCCCTCGTTGTTGAATATACCTAGTAGGCTGCCGAGTCGGAGAGAAACGGAGAAATAGAGAGACACGTGCCGGAGACAAAAGACGGAGTCGTATAGAAAGAAGAAACGAAAGGAGAAACCGGTCGGAAAGGAAACTATAATTGCGACGAACGACGTGAGACCGTTTCTTTCCTGCGGCCATTATCAAACGATAAGAGAAATGAAGACGGTCTACAATTCTACGAATCCAGATACGTGCGTACGATCGCGTGTAAATATCGCCACGTTTTACGCTTCGTTTAACACTAGATTGCCTAAGGAAGTCATTTTGACTGCTTTTCGGCACATATACAAATAATAATGCATAAATTATTTTTTTTTCCCAAGTGAAGTAAATTTTTTTTATTGTTAACATTTACT